GGCACCGCTCCTCCCTCACCTGAGACACCCCAGGGGCTCCCACCGACATCTCAATTGTTTTTTTGGTTTGGTTTATTATATTTTTTTTATTATTTTTTTTATTTTTTTTTTTAGAAAGCAGCCTGTCGCCGTGGGGACGTGTGCGGTTTTCCAAACCTATGGGCTTGGGTGGATTCCGGAGTCGTGCATCTAGCTCTTTCAGCTCTCCTAAGGAAACTTCGCAGGTCTAAGTGGAAGAGGCTTGCTGTGATGTAGGAACAAAAGCTCAACAGTGGTCCGGCCATATGAAATATAAACAATTGCGGGTATTTTAGAAAGCAGCCTGTCGCCGTGGGGACGTGTGCGGTTTTCCAAACCTATGGGCTTGGGTGGATTCCGGAGTCGTGCATCTAGCTCTTTCAGCTCTCCTAAGGAAACTTCGCAGGTCTAAGTGGAAGAGGCTTGCTGTGATGTAGGAACAAAAGCTCAACAGTGGTCCGGCCATATGAAATATAAACAATTGCGGGTATTTTCCTAATAATTTCAGATTGGGTTTTGACTGTCATTTGCATTTCTTTCAGGCTTTTGTAGTACAGCACATTCTTTGGGGGTAGCACAAAGTAGTGCTTCTGATAGGATTTTCATTTAATTTGCCACTTTTTCACTTGTCCTCAGAAAGAATAAACCCCTCTCTGAATTAACCCCAGGAATACAATCCTAATTCCTTTTACCACACAACACAATTTTCATTAGTCTTGATAACTAGTGCATCTATTTCTCTTTCACCTTCTGTCCAGTTACTTTGCAGTAGTGAGAGAGCCCCTGCAGCTGCTCAGTTGATGTCTGATTTCTTCTTCCGACCTGCACTTCTGAGACGTCTCAGCTAGCGCGCAGAAAGCCAGGGAGAGCAAGAGCGTCACTTGACGTAACAGACCGCCAATTGTTCATGAGGCTGAAAGGAATCAAGTCCCTTTTTTTTTTGGCCGAAGTTGAATAATCCCACGTCTCCAAAGTTTGCACAGAATACCAGCCTTACTGGTGCATCTCATACAGCTGTCCACTAACCTAACCTCTGTCATCAGTCAAACCCTCTATGTGAATGAGGAATATGCTTTGATTGGCACTGTCATGGCATGGGGCACACGGGGTTGATATTGTGCATGGGTATCATCTGTGACTCCAGTTCAGTTTGGGAACTGTGTTTCCTCAATACAGTAACATTATCAAATATTTAGTGGTGTTCACCACCCGTAGCCAAACTGCAGCCACGGCCTGACAGAGCTTCATTGCTGTCACCCAGGCAGCTGCCATGCAGGTATATACACTCACCAACTTCATCTGAGATGCATCATATTAAATCCTAAATGATTTTACCAATATCCTCATGAACTGACGGTGTCTCCTCCCCCAGCACTGACAAGATGGAATTATCTGCTCACAGAGATTCTGTTTGCAGAAGCCCTAGAGCTTCTGCTGATCCTTCTGGCTCAGATGTGTGCACAGAGCCTTGGGAAAGCTCCTTGCTCTCTGTGCTTGTTGTTTAGAACTGGCCTCACAGCCTTCTGTGATATAAAACTCCTGAAAGTGATCCTGTGCCGCTGCCGGTAGCTGGACACTTCTGCCTTGCATCATCTTCCACACAGCACTGCAACCTGGCCCTTAGGAGGAAGCCACTTTGGGATCCTTCAGAATTTAAGCAATCGTAACCACACTGCTGGCTCAGTTCTACCAGGATTTCTCAACACACATAGCTAACACAAGTACCTAGGTTTAAGAAAAATGTATTCTTTAACACTTTCCACCATGTCAAACAGGGTCTGCTAAAATGTTCATATTCCTTCTGCTGCTTAAGTAAGTTGCCAAAGTCATCACACCAGGTTTTATGATGGTGAGATCCCACCTGCCTGTGTTAGTGATGATTTGGGAGCAGGATAAATCAACAGTTGGAAATGTTACACTGTTGACACCCTGTGGGGTGATGAGCCACAGCCAAAAATGTTTCCCATGGCATCTTATGCCCTATATTTCCTTGTGGATCCTTATGTGAGAGTTGTGTTAATGTCAACAGCTAGTACAAGTCCTCCTGATCTCTAGGAATGCTTTGCCATTTTGTGTATGAATGCTTTGCCACTTTGGCGGGAACAGAGACAGCAGTGTGAAATACGCTGACCTGGTGTGCGTTTTGGGTTGCTGCACATGAGACCAGCTTGGAGGTTCTTTTACACCGTCAGCAGAATTTGAAGGTTTTAACAGACTGCGTACTCCCCTGCAAAGCGCCTGTGTGACGAAAGACGTCTCTGGAGATTCCTCCCTGAACACTCAGGGACTCGTGCTCATTTGCCCTAAACTCTTTACACCACCTGAGCAGCGTAACTAGGCACATTTGAATTCTCTGTGCAAGGCCTGCTTGAAAGATGAAAATGCTGTGGCAAGACATTCCTGTGTAATAAGTAAGCCCTGCTTCCAAAGGCCAGCCAGGGTGAGTGTGGGACTGCTCTAACCTTCAGCCTTTGAATACAGGACACAAAACCTGCTTTTGGCTACCTTTCCCCCCCTGTTACATCCTTGCATCGCGTGCCCTCAGACAGTCAGAGAATGAGGCTCTCAGCTTCATTCAGCCTTCTTTCTGTCCTTGAAAAAAAAATTCACTTGTTCAGGAAAAAAAAAAAAGAAAAAAAAGGCACCACAGGATGGCCACCAGACTCCTGGGGTAGAAAAGTCTGTCCAAGAGGTTTTGTCGTGTGTGGATTCCTCATAATCAATGTCAGAAACTGCTGAGCATCTCATCACTGCAGCCAGTCACTAAGGGCTTAGTACCCTGGTTATGGAAATGTAGTGAAATTGGCATAGATCGTGTTTGAAGTCAGGTTTATCTATCCTTCTGCTGTGTCCCTCTGTGGATCTAACAGAGGAGGAGCACTCTTGCTACACCAATTTGGTCAAACCTATCCTTTCCCCATCCTTGCAGTACAATAGCCAGGAATAATGTATCACTCTGTAGAGTTTAATCAGTAGTTAAAGGGCTACTATGTTATAAGACCTTCAGATAATTTAGTGATGACTTCGTTTCTGTGTTTGGGGCAACAAAGACCCTGGAACTGCACAGCGTCTTGTACCCATGTGTGCAATAAAGGGCAGCAGTGACACCAGGGCCTAACTCCCCTGGTACAAAAGCAGATGTAGGCACTCAAAGGCCTTCTTGGTCTTGAATCCCATTGAAAGCCAACGTGATTCAGGGTCCTAACACACTTAGGCATTTTGGTAATCTCTCAGCATCCTGAAACATATAGGGGGCTACTTTTGAATTAAGGAAATTGAAAATAATGTGTAGTGGAGAGTAGAACTGAGATTTCCTCCATTTATGGACAGCAGACTAGGGTATTCTCAGCACATTTTAACCTTGTTTGAAGCCCTGCTGTGAATTTCTGTGCAGCTTTGATGTCAGTGTAATACAGAAAAGACCAGATTTCAGTAGCTATTGTGTCAGATGGGATGATGTTGCTTCAGGGCTGAGTGTGATTTGATTTTTAGTGCTGCAGAAAAACCTGATGTCAAACAGGGCAGTAAAATGTCCTTAACTAAAATTATCTCATATGTCCTCTAGCTGTCTGGGAGATTTGCTGACCCCCCCCTAATAAAAATAAACTATCTCAGTGCTGTCGGTGAGTCACAGAAAATCACTAGGTTTACTCTATGGATGGGCAGCTCTTTAGAAATCCCAGTTTAAACAAAAGAGATAAATGCCTTATGGAGAAGACGCCCAATTATGCAGCTGCACAAGCAAGTGGTCACAGAGCGGCCGCAGGTACAAAGCAGCTGTATGAACCCAGTCTTGTGCTGCGTAAATGCCATGGGAAGGGCTTTGCTGGAACAGCGGATCAGATGATAGGCAAGCTGCAAGGTAACACAGGCAGGAGCAGGAAAGAGGTGTTTATGCCGTACCCCTTCTAAGAGCCTAGCATACCTTAGGCAAAGCTTAGGAGCATTTTCAGCAGGCTTCCTGCCGCTGTAAAAGCCCAAGCGAAATAATACCAGGACAGGCTAACATTAGAGCACAAGTCATGCTAAGGTCTAATTTTGGTGTCTCTTGCTAATTGGTGAAAACAGAGTGGTCCGTGATCATGCATTTCATTCTTGTAGACTCTCTCTTAGGTTACAAATTGGTGTGACATGAGATTAGGAGAGTCCTGGAAAGTAAATACCCGCTAATACCTCATTATGAACTGTTAGACATTTATTCGGATTGGTTTAAGCTGAGAGGACAGCTGGGCTACAATGGTTTAAAGAAGGAAGCAAATACTACTAAGTATCTCCAGGGTCTTCTCTGCATCTTAAAGGAACTTGGGGGGTTGTCTAATATTACTATATTTACCATTTAGAGGACTCAAGTCAGAGACTCTCCTCAAAGAATTAGCCCGCACTAAAGCCAGCCACCTTCCTGGCTCCCAGTTCTACTTATTGAAGATGCAGGTTTTTTTAACTTTGCCCCCTTAGGCCTTAGGTTATTTTAATATTTGTCTTTGCTTTCTTTTGTGTTTAAGAGTAGAAAAACTATTTAAAAGCCTCTAATATCAGATACTTGGTGTCACTTACAATAGCTATCTAGCTATTGTAAAATCAATACAAGAAATCAGCTTTCCAGACTTACAACTTCAGCATGACCAAATGTAAGGTCATGCACTGAGGAAAAAAGAAGTGCAGTGTTATAAATAAGCAACTATTTCAGGGGTAATAATAACACAGAGAAATTTAGAAGGCATATGAATAAGCAGAACACACTAAGTTAAAATAATCCTTATGTGCATAAACAGAAAAGTAGCACATAGGTTTAAGGAGATTAGATGACTTGCATTTGACTTGCAGCAACAGATTCTGGAAGATTTGTGTAGATTTGGTGTTCAGAGCAGCCCAGTGAGAATATTAGTGGAGTGGAAACACACTCTGTATTGAGGTCCAAGGATTCTGTATTATAACAAAGGTAGGGAATGATTTTTATCATCATCAATACAAATTTTACAGTGTTAAGGGTACAGGTGATGTCTAAATGTCATATTCTTTTTCTGTAGCCCT